CTTCTCCTTGGCCTTCTCCTTCTCCTCCACCTTCTCCTCCTTCCCCAGCGTCGCCACGATCTCGGCCACCTGGCTGGTGGAGATGTGAATGTCCGCCTTGTCCACCAGCTCGATCACCTGCACACACAGGAAGGACAGGGCTCGGGACCGGCTTCCTCGACCAGCACTCGACCCCACGCCGCCCCCAGGGGCTCGGTGCTTCCCCGGGGCCCAGGCTGCGGGGAACGTCCATGGGGCCAGGCCTGCCCTGGACAGAGGCTCCGGCAGGGTGCAGGGTGCAGACACCGAGCTGCTGTCCATCCCGAGGGCCCCAGGGAAGGGGCAGGGGGCCTGGACTTGCCCTCCAGCCCCTGCAGCCGGCAAGGTGAGGGCTCCAACGTGCTCCTAACCCAATTCCCAACGAGACCAAGTCAGCCCCCGTCCTGCACTGGCTGGACTGGGAACCATGAGAGCCCGTGAAAGCTCCTGCAGAAGTGGCACTGGCGGGCTTCCTTGGACAGCAGGGCTGCTCCAGCCTCGGGCTGCCCAAGCCCCATGTGCCAGGGACCCCGTGGTCCCTCAGGGTCACCCCCAGGCCTCAGAAGTCCCCCGTACAGGCCCTAGGACTGCCCGCACCCCCCTCCCCGGGGTCTGCCCATCCAGCCACCGCAGCAGCAGCCCTGCCAGGGCCTGACCCACCTTGACCAGGTCGTTAATGTTGACCTTGCCGTCCTTGTTGTCGTCCAGGGCCGAGGCCAGGCTGACGAGCTTGTGCTCCGGAATGTGCTTGATCTGCTTCATGGCGCTGATGAGCTCGGTGACGCTGATGACAGTGTCCCTGGGGAGGGGACAGGGAGAGCTGCAGGTGACAGCGGCACCCGTCTCAAGGCGCCCAGGCCAGCCCCGCCCCGTAAACGTGGGGAGATCTCTTTGGACCAGTGAGGGCAGGCGGGCCCACACAGCCCAGCAGGTCAACCAGGGGCGGACACTGCCCTCATCTGGGGGTGAAGGGTCTCCACCCGAGGACAGGACAGCACCGAGCCTGGCCCCGGGGCAGCCATGCTGGGACACCACGTGGGGGACCAGAGT